TGACGTCAACTTCTACGCTGAATATCTTGAAATGTTCGTGACCTCAAATTCAGAGTGCGATAAATCTCCGATTTCTGATTGGATCTGCGATATGAAGGCACAGATGATGTTATTAGAGGTGCTCGAATGTCATTTCAAAAGTTTCAGAGGCATCGGTCGACATACATCAAACAATCATTGTTACCTTGTTGAAAATCTGTCAAAATCCTGGCTAGAGCCAGGATCATAGAGTATATATTCTTGCGACGGTATGCATGAGGCCAGTGCTGTGTTGTAAAGACACTTTATTGCAATCCTGTTGCTTTCTCCTCTTTTCTTTTTTTTTTGTTTTCGTTTTCGTTTTCTTTCCTTTTTCTTCCTCTTCCCCCTTCTTTTTCCCCGGGGGATCTAGTATAAATAGTTTAATCGAAGATTACCCGGCGCCGCCTCCACTCCTGGGCTTGAGATCGCGCACGTATGCTACTGTTGGAGGTATTGATATATTGAGCAATCATATTGGTCGATTATTGATCAATGGTCTATGTGACGTGACGCGGCAGTGACGTGAGTGTCGATCATGCGTAATATGAAACGCAGTATGTTGGAACGCGTCATCACGTAGAAAGGTGATCAAGAATGAGAATCGTGAGAATTTGTAAGATGATCTTGAACTTCAATCGAGAGTCTCACTATCGATTGAGTTCTGGCAAGAATAGTATTGTGGACGTTGAGGTCCAAACGAATATAGGATATAATAAAGTAAGACCTTTGATTGAATAAGACTACTGCTTATTCCAGAGGCTGAGGCCCAGAGTCGCTGGTGCCCAAAGGCAGACCATAGCCGACGTAGATTCGATCTCAGGGATTGCTCATTGAAACAGACAGGGCGTTGAGGCACCCATTCAGGTCTGTAGAGCAAGTCCATCTGACACTCAATCGATAGTGAGAAAGTTTATAAAAGAGACAATGACGCGCCGCAACCAAAGTACAAGAGGAGTTCGCGGCGGCAATCGATTCGGTGGAAATCGCCAGACGAGTGGCAATTCACAGAATACAAAAAAGAAAGAAAAATGATCGCCCAAGTATCATCCGAGCGACCCAGATTTTCCTTATGCCGATGTAACAAGAAGCCTCATCGAACAAATTGGAATGGAGGGATTGGAGTATCCTCAGATTATGATATCTTCCATCAAAGAATTGAATGAGCCAGACTGGGATGGTTTGAAACCCAAATTGGATTTAGCTGGTCAAGAAGACAAAATTGAGAGAGAGGCAAAGAAAGAAGAGTTGAAAACGGAGAGTGTCGAATATCATCGACAAAAGCGATACTGGAGCAAAGCGAAGTGGCATGTGCATTCGCTGATTATGGAGTCATTTGTTACCAGTAAAATGAAGGACAAGATTCTGCAGGAGGTCGATTACAATGAGAAAATCGAGGGTGATCCTATTGAATTATTGAGACGCATCAATAAATTTATGACGACCAGTGATGTGACAGACTGGGAACCCATTACATTGTGGGAAGCACTACAGAAGTGGGTGAATTGTCGTCAGAAAGGAAATGAAACGGTGATTGAATACCGTAAACGATTTGAAGAATGCGCAACTACAGTATTATCTTTCATGGGTGATTCGTGGCTAGATGTGTTTGCCTCGAAAACGACCGCATATCATGAGATTGAAAACAATCATCCGACTAATGGCTTGTCGGATAGAGAAAAGAAGCGAGTTGCCGCAGAAGTCGAAGCACTTCAAGAAGAATTTCAGGAAGAGTTTGTAAAGTTATTCTGCGCTGCTGGGTTATTGCACAACTGTGATCGTGCACGATACCAGCCGGTACTTGATCATTTTGTTACTGCATACGCTGTGGAGCACGTGGATTATGCTCAGCGAGACTTGTTCCCAAGAGATGTGGAAACTGCAGCCAAGGCGCTACACAATCATTGGGTAAAGAAAACAACAACACCGAAACATAACAACAACAACAACACAAATGAAAAGCGAACACACCACAGAACGGTACTAACCTTGCACAGGATTACAACAAGGGGAGTAAGCGTAAATGTTTTTGCTGTGGTATGGCGGATCATGTTGCACCGCGATGTGAACATCGATTCCGACCCAAGGAACAATGGAAAGATCCGACAAAATGGAGATCGTATCCCAGGAATGAATCGGGACGCGAACAGGTACACCTGCAGACAAGCACCGAGGAGGGATCTGTGCAGTCAAGTGTGACAGCTAACACCGCAGGTACACCCGCCAACAATGATGGTGGTGTTTCTCAGCAGAACCATATGCAGACTGGTTCGGCTGACAGGAGTGGTGGACCACAGCCTCAAAAGCAAAAGATTGGCATTCAGGGGTGGAATATGGCTCAGTTTGGCAGACGTAAGAGAGTACCTCAACCTATTTTAAGACCTTCAAGATTTGGGACGTCACCACCACACGACATAATGGCAAACTGGCAGGTACAATTGGATGCTGTCAGATAATAATAATAAATCTGATGCATTAATCATGTTAAAACTATCTCAAGTTTCTAGATTGCCGTTAACGGCTGTCATGGCCATTTACCATACGGAGGTGAGTCCAGTACTGTTGAACCAGTTTGAGGC